ATATTTTATGTTTCTATAATATTCTGAAGCAATACCAACATTTAAGTTGGCTAACCTGATCTCACTATAGTGATATACTCTGTCCACATATGTGGAGGCTAGAATACAAAGAGTTAATGGTAGTGAATTTGTGGAGCAACAGTGTACGTCACATGTTGACACAGAAGTTTCACAGTGATGCTGTACACTTCTTGGTGAATTGAGAACACTGGCTGGAGAAAACAAGAGGCTCATATCGGGAACCGCGAGATTCACCTAGGATCAGAGGTACACGAACGACTCCTGTTACGTGTTCGAGGCAGTCATGCTGTAAACAGCAGAGATGCCAAAACTCCTCAAACCCCATTGCTAATAATGAAGGAGGGCTTGCCAAATGAACTACGACATTCACTTTACCTATTAATGCCACTGATATAAAATCTGTATTTTCTAAACTTTGGCATGCATACAATATTCATTCAATGCTGCATGCACCCTGCACTTCAATAAATGCTGCTATATCATGGGCAAAATGCTTCCCATAAGCATAACATCACTCTTTTCTTTTTAATTTGTGTAAGTACACAAGTGAATCATGGTATGTTCCATAAATTGACAGTCAGTTGGTTTAAAGATTACAGCATCTCTTGCTAAAGGGAACCATATGCAGATGCAAAGCAGGCGGCGCTTATGCTTCCTGCGTGTTTTGTACCTCCCCACGTTTCTCTCGTGCGCAACGCCGCGATGAGCGCCAGTGTTTCATACTGGAGCATGCTAATCACTGCTAATGGGCACTGAAAGATGAAAGACTCCAATTGGACACAGACACCCGCAGCCTGTTTCTAGTTAATGCAGATGCTTCAATTTTTTATTTTTCAACAACGCACAGGAGAAATCTCCCACGGGGTATCTGTGAGTTTAAAATTCGGTGCCAATATATACATGGTGGCCAGTGCATGGTTGTGCAGCATGAGCAGTTGGTTTTTTTTCAATGAAGAAACTCCTTAGCAGACGGTGCATGCATCGGCATCGCGAGTCGAGATAGGGGGAGGGGAAGTGCATGCGAATGTGAGGGTAGTCGTGCCACACAAGCACACTAGATTGAACTCGACTATAAGATGCTTTACATCTAAAAATTACTTAAATGCTCAAGTGCTATTCATCTGGCACTGCGCACATATGCGCGGAGTACTAGTTGACTAGCTGCGCACATATAGTATAAAATGAATGCTTCACAGCAGACGAATGTCAAGCACACTTATCTGTGTTGAACAGAACAAAATATTGTTACGATGGGGTGTGTTTATTAAAGGGTGAATAGCGAAGAGTAGCCGCGCTGTTACTGAAAAATATCATCAAGTTCATTTTCATATATAAACGGTCTCAGCACATGCCCAGTATCTAGAACACTGTACGATGCATCGCTTTTTATTTTATTTATTTAAATATACTGCAGACCAATTTGGCCCTAGATTTAGGGGCAGTACACATAAAAGAACAGAACACAAGGATGGCTTAATGCATGCATTGATACAATTTTGAACATATGTGCATAAAATAGGGTGCATATAACAATGGGCAATTAGGATTATTAATGCTCATACATAGACAAAATAAACAACAATGATAATGTTGCCTAGTTGGAAGTGTACAAGAACGTTAGTCTGCACAGGTCGGCAATGTAAATAAACCTCATGCCACTTGGAAAATAAATTACCCTGAATGAAAAAAATAGAAAACCCCGATTCATAAATTTACCATGGTTTGAAGAATTTGACTTAAATACATTACATACAATGATAGATATCAAAATATTAGGCAGATTTCAGCTGGTAATATTTCACTCCATTTTCTTCTTTCCAACACTGTAATGTTAGAAAATTAATTTGGTTTACAGCATATAGTGTAATTCATCATAATGAAAAGCCACCAAAGAAGATGGTTACTCTTGCACTCCGCACTAACAACCAACGTCCACCCCCCCCCCCCCCCTCAATTGTGTAACATGTACCTGAATTAAGTACACAACTACTCATCATACAGGAGAGTGTACACGTCTGTAAAATGGCCACAAGACACATTTTCTAAAAGCCTCGCTTGAAGCTAGGATTCCTGCCTTCGTTTATAAAATCACCATCGGTGAAGTTCAAAGCTGGTCAGTGGAATAGATACCAATAAGACATTGCAAACATTATTAAGGCAAAATCCTTACATGCGTCATGAAACACTGAATGTGACCATCAGCATCAACACGAATGAAGCAAAAATGACGTCATACGTGATCGCACGTGATCTCACATATCACGAAAGTTTGCGACATCATACCATCGCATGATGACATAATTGCATCATAATCCGGGTCAAGGGTGGCCAGACCGTGGAGGAAGTGCAGTGCCATGCTAGACAGAAAAGCTTCAGGAGTTGAGGGCCAGATCAGAACAATCTACTGAGGATAAGAAGATGGCTTTTGCTTTCTAGTTGTCTTAGGTAAATGTGTAAGAGTCCCTGCGAGCTTTTAATAAGCCATGTCTGACCAAAAATACCCATACTTGCAAATACAACAGACCACAGGAAGAATCTTTGGCAGTCACTCTCCTTGACCCTTGTTTGCACTGCTGTAGGTACTTAGGGCTAACACTCGTTCAATAAAATATCTGTGCTGTGTTCGCATCATCCGTGCTTGCACACAGTACTAACACTTCAGGCTTGTTTAAACAGAAGTGGTTGAGCGGAGAAAACCTTCTGTTCAGGCGACTGAAGCAAGCACGAAATGAGGCAGCCAGCCCAATCGCTCGGAGACCAATGTTTTTCTGCCGCCAAAGTGTTCTGCTTTGCCGCAGGCAATCAGAACAACATGCGGTGCTGGTGCTTGTGTACTCCAAACGCCGGATGTGTCCATGTAGCCAAATTCCAAGTATACGTTTGTGTATTTTTCCTGCACTGGGCCACCAGAACAGATATTACATTCAGCGAAAATTTTTAGGGCTTCACTCACAACAATCCAGTCATCGAGACAGCGCAACTCACATGATTTAGGAACAAACGGGGAGTCAACTGTTCGGCCAAGCGGGAAAGTTCTGAAAGCGAAAGTTGCACCCTTCACTTGCTGTACATTCAGTATTTTAACTGACAGCGGATTTCCAGATGACTAAAACCCAGCTTCTATAAAATGAAAACAATGACAATCGGAGTCGCACAGTGTATGATGGTTGCATTCAGAACTTGGCAAGTGGGCGTTTGAAGGGTCTAAGCACACTCCTGAAAAGTCACTTTTGATGCCTACTTCATCTTCGCTTGTCAACATCTCAGCTGCAAATCGCTTACTTGCAGCTGTCACGCTTCCTCTGCTCGCCACAATTTCAATAGTCTCATCAAATATTGTTTCAGGAGATACGTTGATGTCTCCCTCTTCCGATAAAGCCACTGCAGTTTTTCTTTCTGGTCTTTGGCAGTGGTAGCGGGTGCGCCATGGTAGGCAACTTTCTTTTTCTGAACACGGAAAAATGCAAGGAATTGCATCTTCCGAAAGAACACTTCGTTTCGGCACGTCGAGCAGGATCTTTCCATCTAGCTCTCCAAAGTATCTTTTCTTGAGAATCATGTCATCTGAGAAGTGCTTGCTGCATATTGCATCCTTTGTGCTGAGCTGACGGTCCTTCCTGGGAACCGCCCGAGTCCATGCTTTCAGGCGTTCGGGATCAGAAGGAACATTGAATAGTATTACTTTTTCTTTGCATGCAGGGTACCCGGACCAGCAACCACTGATGAAGCACTTTCTTCCCATAATCACTCACTGTGTTGACATCTTCTTACACGCGATTTCCTTCATGGCTGCTCACCACATCGCAAGTTCATTCTTCGAACGGAAATTATGAAACGCCACTTCATAAAACATGCCAAAGGCACGCTAGCAACTGAAGTGGCCCAAGGGCTAGTTTTTTGCGAGTGACAAACACGACGCTCTCTGAACGCTGGCATTTGTTTCCACTGGCCTCACCGGTTGCTATAGCAACAATACGTGAAACAACTTTTTAAATTTTTATATTGCGCTGGCTTGCTGCTAGCTGCGCTGCCGACACGTTCCGACGGACACGCGTCGCTGTTACTTTATCTGGTCAATCGCATGCCATGAGAAAGCTGAGAAGTGTGCACACCTAAAGTGTTTGTATCTTACACCATGTCCATGCCTCAGCTGCACGCTGGCGTCACTCTCTCCCTCACCCGCAGCTGCCACTTCGGCGTGGTGTGTCTGCAGGAACCTCTCTGCGTGCACTTCACCGATCACAAGACCGTGGTAGTCAAGGCGAAACATGCGCCTGCTTCGTTCCGGCGCCCGTGTCTCAAGAAAGGACTACGAAGTCTTGCCACACACTTTAATGAAACTTACTAGAAACCGTAGAAACCCAAGCACGATCGAACGACAACATGCAGTGCGCTGATAGCCAAGTATTGTTTCCCGATATGACAGTTTTCAAACTGCACAAGCACTGACTGTCTTGCATTAGCTAATCTCGGGCAATATCCGGTTGATTCACGTATTTAAGTTACAGGTCCAATCCTGGAAGCGGGGGTGTGCTGGCGATGCTTTTCTAACTTCTAAATAAACATGACGACGCTAGACAACACAGCTGACCATGCATTACTTGACAAGCAAGCACTCCACATACTGTACTATCGGAAGGTCTTTACAATGCATCATCAATACTAGCTGCCCTGCTCAATAGTAATTTTTGCCACCCCCCCCCCCCCTTTTTTTTTCAAGCTACACTAAACATGACCTGTTGATGGAGCGCAAAGGCGCGCCTCTTTCAACGTAGCTGGCTATTCAGAAATTCTAGTTTTATTTATTCAAGAGCCGTACACACGCGGCGTCGCTGCGCATTCGTTTTTCGTGCACTCGAGTGCAACTCACACTTCGCGCGCTGTAGCAGCTGGTCGCATCCCGTTTTAACACCGAAACGCTGGTTAAACGTTTCAACAGAATGTACTGCATTGTTTTATAGAGGACTACTTTTACTTACCTCAACTGTCTCTGTCCGCTGTTACCGGTTACGACCTCCAATGCGTCTCAGTACAGCGTTATCAAGTAAGTTTTTTTTTTTTTTTTTTTTTCCGAGAAGTTCGCGTCGGCTTCAAACTTGCGCTCTTTGTATACCTGCCGCAACGCGTTGCCAGTTACAACTACTAAATTTTATAAGCAACCATGACACTGGTTATTCGGACACTATTGTACAGCTAGAGTTAAGCACACAGTCAGAACACCTGATGAAGAGCGGTTGGTATACTCTGTACCTGATGCCTGAGGAAATGCTCGCGCTCCCAGCAGAGTTGGCTTGCCTTCAGTTTTGAGCAAGCGCCGCGCGGTGGCTGAATGAATAGATGGATGGATGTGGCTGTACCCTTAGATCGGGCGGCGGCTAACGTCACCTAGCCGTAATACTTATTGAACTAATCATTAGATTTATCTTTTTTTTTCTTGAAAAAGTGAGGTTGAGGATTCGTACTTTGCAGTGAAGGGTTTAATTTTCACTCGTTCCTTGACTTTAGCCACCAATCAGATAACCCCCTTCTAGTTAAGTCTAGCCACTTAAAGTCTATTTTGCCCTCCCTGTCCCTAAACCCCAGTGCTTTGAAGAACTCTGCGCCATCATCCTGAACTATAGGGTGAAGCCCTTCACAGAACAATATCCAGTGTTCAGCAGTTTCTTCTTCCTCTCCACACGCACTGCATACTGTGTCTACCCCTTCGTATTTGGCCCGATATGTCTTGGTTCGCGATACTCCCGTCCTGGCCTCAAACAGTAGAGAACTATCCCGAGTATTATCATAGATCCTTTCCTTGTCAATTTCCTGCTTAAAAGTTCGATAGATCTCTAGTGCGGACTTCTTAATCATGCCAATTCTGCTCATATCGGTCTCAGCTTCCTTCACCTTCTTCTTAACCGATAATTCTTTTTGGATTGGCCCCCTGCTGTTTTCTAAGTATTTACCAGTCAAATTCCTGGTTCGCTTCCTCCATTCTGTATCGACATTCTTCAGGTACAAGTAGCTGAAAACGTTCCCAGCCCAACGCTCCTCCCCCATTTCTCTCAATCGCTTCTCAAATTTTATCTTGCTGCTAGCTTCCCTGCCCTCTAATGATGTCCATCCCATATCACCTTGTACTCCCTGATTTGGTGTATTCCCGTGAGCTCCTAAAGCAAGCCTACCTATTCCACGTTGCTTAATTTCTAATCTTGCTTGAACTTCTCATATCATGCACAAGACCGCATTGCCAAACGTCAGCGCTGGTACCATTACCCCTTTCCATATTCCTCTCACAACAACATACCTATTGTAATTCGAAAGTGCCCTATTTTTCATCACTGCTGGATTCCTCTTACCTTTAGTCGCACGTATATTTCGTGTTCCCTTAGGTACTCGGTCCCATTGCTTATCCATACGCCCAGATATTTGTATTTATCTGTTATCTCTAACGTGACCTCCTGTATTCTAATCTCACTATACCTTCGTTATCATTAAAAGTTATAACTGCTGTTTTTTCCTTACTGAATCTAAAATCTAACCTATCTCTCTCATTACCGTAGATGTCCATCAATCTCTGCAAATCTTCCTTGTTGTCGGCCATTAGTACTATACCATCTGCGTACATTAATGCTGGTAGTACCTGATCAATGAGTTTTCCTTGTTTGACTAAAGAGAGGTTGAAGCCAAGTCCGCTTCCCTCTAATTTGGCCTCTAATCCTTGTAGGTACATCATGAATAACAAGGGTGACAGTGATCACCCCTGCCTAAGTCCCCGCTTCACCTCTGTGGGCTTGGATACCTGTTTTTCCCATTTTATAGCTACCTTGTTACTTTTATAGATTTCTTTTAAAAGATTAGTGACTCCATCTTCCACACCAAGTGTGTCTAGTATTCCCCACAAGTTCTCTTGAACCACGCTATCGTACGCTCCCTTGATATTCAAAAATCCTAGCCACAGGGGCCTGAGTTCCTTTTCTGCTATTTCGATGCATTGCGTCAGTGAGAACAGATTGTCTTCCAATCTCCTGTGTTTCCGAAACCCATTCTGCAGTTCCCGCGGTGGCGCTCACCGCGCGTTTTTCAAAGCACTGGGATTTAGGGACAGTGAGGGCAAAACATACTTTAAGCGGGTAGAATTAACTAGAAGGAGGTTATCTGATTGGTGGCTAAAGTCAAGGCATGAGTGAAAATTAAACCCTTCACTGCAAAGTACGAATGCTCGACCTCACTATTTAAGGAAAACAAAATAAATCTAGTTTTTGGCTCATTAAGTATTACGGCTTAGTGGCGCTAGCCACCACCCAATCTAAAGGGTACAGCCATATTCATCCATCCATCTATCGCCACCGCGCGTCTCTTTTGATCAATGAAAATATTAGAAGTTAGGGAGCTCAGTGGCTGGCAGAATTACATAAAAACATAGAAATGCAGCTGCGAAATTTTGGAACCATCTAAACTCCCTAAGCAATGAGACGAGCCTAGAACAGAGGTTTATAACTACAGCTCAAGTTGCTAGGCTAGAAGGGGACGAAGCTATTGAATATATTAGAACGAGGGTGACAGAAAAATTTCAACAAATAGGTGCCTTGTGCACCACAATAGACAAGGATGAATCAAGTGGCGCAATGGCTCCATTTTCACAACGAGAGTGGGAAAGGGCTGAGAAAAGGGTTCCTAGTAGTACATCAACAGGCCCAGATGGCATTCCAATTATGCTGATAAGGACATTAGGTCCGAAGTCTAAGCAGGCTTTGAGAGAGGCAGTGAGCAAAATAATAATCAGTGGTGAAGTTCCCGATTGATGGAAACTTAGCAGGATGAGCGTTATCTATAAAGAAAAGGGGGACAAAGCTGACATAAACAACTACCGTCCTATAACAGTGACATCAGTGGTCTACAGGCTGGCGATGCAGATTATAAAGGAAAGACTGCAGGCATGGATAGAGGATGAGGGGGTGCTGGGGGAACTGCAGAATGGGTTTCGGAAACACAGGAGGTTGGAAGACAATCTGTTCTCACTGAAGCAGCGCATCGAAATAGCAGAAAAGGAACACAGGCCCTTGAGGCTAGCATTTTTGGATATCAAGGCAGCGAACGTTAGCGTGGTTCAAGAGGAATTGTGGAGAATACTGAACACACTAGGCGTGGAAGATGTAATCACTAATATTTAAGAGGATATCTATAAAGGTAACAAGGTAGTTAAAAAGTGGGAAAAATAGGTATCCAAGCCTGCAGAGGTAAAACGGGGGCTTAGGCAGGGGTGTACCCTCTCACCGTTATTCTTCATGATGTACCTACAAGGATTAGAGGCCAAATTAGAGGGAAGAGGAATCTGCTTCAACCTCTCATTCGTCAAATAAGGAAAACTCATTGAACAGGCGCTACCAGCATTGATGTACGCAGATGATATAGTGCTAATGGCCGACAACGAGGAAGATTTGCGGAGATCGGTGGACATCTGCGGTAATGAGGGAGGTGTTAGATTTGAGAATCAGTAAGCAAAAATCAGCGGTCATGATTTTTAATGACAACGAAGGTAGTGAGCTTAGAATACAGGAGGTCACGCTAGAGGTTACAGATAAATACAAATATCTGGGCGTATGGATAAGCAATGGGACCGAGTACCTAAGGGAACACGAAATATACGTGACGACTAAAAGTAACAGGATTGCAGCGGTAATGAAAAATATGGCGCTGTGGAATTACAATAGGTATGATGTTGTGAGAGGAATATGGAAAGGGGTCATGGTTCCTGGTCTGACGTTCGGCAATACGGTCTTGTGCATGAGATCAGAAGTTGAAGCAAGATTAGAAATTAAGCAACGTGGAATAGGTAGGCTTGCCTTAGGAGCTCACGGGAATACACCAAATTAAGGAGTACAAGGTGATGTGGGATGGACATCACTTGAGGGCAGGGAAGCTAGCAGCAAGATAAAATTTGAGAAGCGATTCAGAGAAATGGGGGAGGAGCGTTGGGCTAGGAAGGTATTCAGCTACTTGTACATGAAAAATGTCGATAAAAAATAGAGGAATCGAACCAGAAAATTGACTGGTAAATACTTAGAAAACAGCAGGGGGCCAATCCAAAAAGAATTATCGGTTAAGAAGAAGGTGAAGGAAGCTGAGACCGATATGTGGAGAATTGGCATGATTAACAAGTTCGCACTAGAGATCTATCGAACTTTTAAGCAGGAAATTGACAAGGAAAGGATCTATAATACTCCGGGTAGTTCTCTACTGTTTGAGGCCAGGACGGGAGTATTGAGAACCAAGACATATCGGGCCAAATACGGAGGGGTAGACATGGTATGCAGTGCGTGTGGAGAGGAAGAAGAAGCTGCCGAACACTTGATAATGTTCTGTAAAGGGCTGCACCCTTCACCTGTTCAGGATGATGGCGCAGAGTTTTTCAAAGCACTGGGGTTTAGGGACAGGGAGGGCAAAATAGACTTTAAGGAAGTAGAATTATCTAGAAGGAGGTCATCTTATTGGTGGCTAAATTCAAGGCAAAAGTGAAAATTAAACCCTTCACTGCAAAGTACGAATCCTCAACCTCACTACTTAAAGGGAAAAAAATAAATCTAGTTTTTGATTCATTGGGTATTGCGGCTTGGTGGCACTAGCCACCGCCCGATCTAAAGGATACGGCCATATTCATCCATCCATCTATCCAGCCACTTGAATAACAAGGGTGTCCTTTGTCACCGTTGTTATTCATGACGTACCTACAAGGATTAGAGGCCAAATTAGAGGGAAGTGGACTTGGCTTCATCCTCTCTTTCGTCAAGCAAGGAAAACTCATTGAACAAGCACTACCAGCATTGATGTACGCAGATGATATATTCCTAATGGCCGACAACAAAAAAGATTTACAGAGATTGATGAGCATCTGCAAAAATGAGGGAGGTTTTAGATTTCAGAATCAGTAAGGAAAAATCAGCAGTTATGATATTTAATAATAATGAAGGTAGTGAGCTTAGAATACAGGAGGTCACGCTAGAGATAACAGATAAATAGAAATATTTGGGCGTGATATAAGCAATGGGACCTAGTACCTAAGAGAAGACGAAATATGCGTGACGACTAAAAGTAACAAAATTAGCGGGGATGAAAAACAAGGCACTGTGGAATTACAATAGGCATGATGTTGTGAGAGGAATATGGAAAGAGGTCGTGGTTCCTGGTCGGACGTTCGGCAATGCGATCTTGTGCATGAGATCAGAAGTTCAAGCAAGATTAGAAAT